CGAGCCTTGAGTTTGGGGATCATGTTTCCTGAAGATTTCGCCGATGAAAGGAGTTTCAAGATTTGGGAAAAAGGGTAAATTGGCACCCCGTTACAATGGGCCGTTTGAAATTCTGAGAAGGTTAACCCGATCTGCCTACAGACTTGCTTTACACCGAGATTAAGTCAAGTTCATAATGTGGTTTCAATATCTCGATGTTGAGGAAGTATATTCCGGGATTCCAACTGCACGTGATTGATCATTTTGGGATGTGTGGATGATGAAGACTTAAGCTATGAAGAAAAGCCGTTACGAATTATCGATAGACAAGCGAGCGGGCAATGAGAAACAAGGCAATAACGATGGTAAAAATTGAATGGAAAGAGCATTACGGCAGGGATGCTACATGGGAAATGGAGAGAAATTTGAAAGTCCGATACCGGAATGTTCTCAGAATCAAGGTAACTCAAGTTTGGGAACCAAACTTCTTTAGGGGGATAGGATGTAATAACCCTCGGCGCTGTTCCTAACTCATACTTCATCTACATTCATATCTGATTCTGCTGTTAAGCTTGCATCTCAAGTCTTGTCCTTGTTTCGCTTAAGTGTTACAGCATGTTTTTGTACTTGCTCGGTTGTGGGTTTAGCCGAGGTCACCCTGAGCCTAGTCAGTTATTGAAACCTCTTGCAATCTAAGACCATCTTTGGAATTTACTTTGGTGGACTCCACCTTCGCTCTGACATGTTGGCCGAGATGTCACTATCTGGCCGAAGGTGTTCATTGCCGAGGCCGAGATGTGCATGTATCTAGGCCGAGATGTTACCCTTGGACCCAATGGCCTTACTCCTAGATTGGTACGACCTAGGCGATGTGGGGACATCTAGGCCAGGTATGTGACAGCTAGGCCAAGTGTTGTCCTTTCTAGCCGATGTCCTTGCCCCTTGCTTGCCGAAGTCTTATTGTTAGCCGATGTCGGTTACGTGTCGAAGTGCTCTTGCCGCCTAGCTTGTTGAGTACACTTTGTCATAGTCTGTCTTTTCACTTAGTCACCTTTTTATTAGAACCAACCAGCCGTCTTGCACGTACCCCTGCAGAGGGTTAAGTCAGCCGACAGACCCAGAAAATAATTTTTGTATTATATCTTTGCCTTGTAGAGAGAGACAGCTCTAAGAAGAATAAAGTTTTTAGAGTGAGAGAGTGGGCTTTCGAGCTTGATTCCTAGAGATCAAAACCGTTAGCATTCGTGTATTGAGGTTAGATTCTTGATTTACTCTTGTTGTTCTTTATGTTTATCTAGCTGCATGCACGATCGAACCTGTTCTGCACGTCATGCATTGAATTTAAAGTTGGTTTTAGAAAAGAGAAAATAGTGTTCATTGTGTTCTTGAAGAAAAAGTCTTGTTGATCCGAAAGTTGCATTAAGATTCATGATTTTTGTTTGTTCTCACAAGATCCTTGAATATGGGTACCCAGGTCCATATTTTTGAATTCAAGCATGAAAGTCTCTCAGATTTTGTAATAGCAAATTATGATCTTTGCATTCATCTCCTCATGTCCATGTTCTTCATGTTCGTCATGTTCTTCAAGAGAGGGAAACCCAGATTTTTCCCGACTTCATTTCCTTGAATGTGGCCATGGATCGAGGCCACACCTCGGCCAGGAGGTGTGGGACCTCGGCCTAGACCTGGTAGTTGCCCAGCATGTTTTCCCGAGATAAGAAACTATGTTTTGTTTTGATTTGACTTAGTTTTGAGGAATGCCGAGATCATCTGCATGCATGTGAAACTTGTTTGAAAGTACATTCAACAGACTTTGACATGTGTTTGTAGGACTTGGACTTGCCTTGACCCCGACATTTGAAGAGCTATGTGAGTGGTATTTTTAATAAAGCTATGTTATAATGCTTTGATAAAAGCCTTGTTTCGTTTTGAAAAGTATTTGTAAGCATGAATGGTTATTCCTAGTTGGAAAATATGTATTATCTTGTTTTGATGACATTCTTGGAAAGTCCTTACGTGATGGAGGACCCTAACCATTTGCAGCACAATCTTGAAAGTCCTTACGTGCTGGAGGACTCTAAGCATTTGCAGCACAAAGTTTGGAAGTCCGTGCGTGCTAGGGGACTCTAAGTATTTGTAGCACAAGTCCTTAGTGCCAGGGGACTATAATGCAACTGCACCATTGAATTGAGATATCTCCCTTGTCTTGCCTTGCCTTGTTTGCCACTGACGGTTTACCGCATGGGTTTGTTTGTCCGAGATATCATCACTTGTATTATAACGATGCTAATAAGCATCCCTTGAAGCTTGACAGATTTGCTAGATGGACTTGGTTCATCCTTTGACTTGCACTAATTATGTTATGTATCGTTTGATAAAGATCTTGAATACCAGTCATGCAAACCCCTTTATTATTTACACCATTCACTGAGTATCCAAGCTCACCCCTCTCTATATATATATGTAGGTGGCGAGCAGGACGGCGGTGACGCCTAGATGTACTTGCCACTTGTTTTGGATTTTGCACTTTTGCAGCATCTTGAAGATCATGCTTCTTAGTTGTATTTCACTGTATTTTGTATTTGATGGCTGAGAAGCCTTTTGGTCAAGATGTATTTTTGTACTTCATTTTGTTATATTAAAGCTATGTAATGATGTATGCCATTCTATTTGACTTATGCACAGCTCTTATGGACTACTTAGTTTTAAATTTATTGCTTCCGCACTTGTAAGCCCCATATGTATACTCTGATTGTGTGTGAAACCTTGCAAGTTGGCCTTGGGTAATTGTGAATTACTGGCCATCATGGCACCATTCTACTAGGGGCGGAATGGGGTCGTGACATTGTTTCTTTGACATTTGTATGTTTGAGAGGTTCTATCTCAGTTGAGAGCGAGTTTATTCCTCGATGGGAGCAAGTTTCTTACTTAGGCGAGTGGAATCGAGTTTCTAAGTAAGAAACGTGTAGACTTGAACATACTTTAATCATAATATCATACTCTCTTATGTATCTAACATGAATCTTCGCCAAAATGTAATTTGGAACATTTTATTATCATTCTTTGTGCTGATTACCACTTCCCTTTTGTGGAATCCTTCTTGAGCTTAATGTCAAATTGTTTTACATTGTCAGTGGTAAGATACATATACAAGAGTTAGAACACAAGATGATGCTGGACTTGTTCTCAGCTATGCTACGTGGACTCTAGTAAGCATGTTGGGTACAAATATGTGTCTAAGGGTCAGATTCATCTAATTCTCATGTCAAAGACACCGGGGCACAACAATATTTTATGTTTTTGATTTATTTATTTTTAATGTTTTAATGGTAAAATGATGTTTGAAAACTAAAATATATGATTTTATGTATAAAACAGAAATCTTATGCATATTTATATAATAAACTCGACCACTTATATGTACTTGTTGTGCATCTTCAACTATGCATATCGGACACATTCAACATGGGTACTTCACAAATTTAGAAGAGTCCATGGAACATAGGTACTCAAGATTTTTAATCTTATCAAGGTGAGTAGCTCTGATGGCTTTGAAGTTTCTTGCTCCTACATTGAAGTTTACAATGAGCAGGGTCTGCATATTGATTATGGAGTTTTGACTTTTTTATAGTTATGAGTACTCATTTTTTGGAAAAGTTTGTAATTGTCGTCTTTATTGGTGCAGGCTATCTATGATTTGCTTGAAAAATCCTTGGGTTATTTGGAACTTGGGGAGGATCTGGAGCAACAAATAGTTGTTGAACTTATATGCATCAAGGTTCATCCTCTTCTTTATTTCAGTTGGAAGACTAACATATCATATTCTTGTGCAAGCATTGGTTTTGACATAAAACATGTGAACATTTTTATAAGTATTGGGGCTGTTTGGTGCAGCTATAGTTTTTTATTATTATTATTATTTATTTTGGAAGTCTATGCCAAACTGTTTGGTATAGTTTCTGCTTATAGCTTGTTATGCAGAAAAAACTAATTATCTAAAAGTTCGGGAGGAGTGTTTTTTATTTATGCTCTTTCATTATTAGCTTTCAACTTACAAAAACTGCACCAAGCAGGCCCATTGTGTTCTGTCTTTGTTTTGAAACTTTTTCAAGTTCAAGGTGCTTTCATCCTCTTCAATGGTTGTGTCAGTTTGTGTGGGGCCAGCCTATCAACTAGAGTTTGTGTACGAAGAGGCAGAAAATTAGGAGTGTCAAATATATCTGATTTATATTTGCGTACAAAGTTGAAGAAACATTTCTAGATGCAGATGGCATATGCAAATCATACTTGTGACAGAATCTAAAGAACATGTGGCAGTGTCCAAGGAATCTAAACCGAGTATTTTTGTGTATAATCATACATTTCAAGCTAACTTTATCTAGGAATTTCAGAAACAGTAATAAATCTCTGATCAAAAGTTAGCTGCCCCATCTTTTAGCCATACAAGGATAAATTATAATATCAAAATTATAGTTTCTGAAGATTATCTGATTTACAAATAGCACTAACCGAAATGAACTAAATCCCTTCAAATAAATAATTCAAATGATTGGATGCTTCTTGAGCAAAGTTATTGTTCCTGCTTTGCATTGCATTTGACTAACTCTAGTGTTTTTCTGGGCAGCACTTAAATGAACTTTTTGTTATCTCATCTTTTGTTTTATATCATGAATGGCTTTCAATCTTGCAATAATTCATATGTTAAAGGGAATTATTCTAATTGAATGAAAAATACTTTTCAAATTTTTATTTATTTATTTTTTTTTGTGTCCATGGAATGCGGTGAAATCTTTCATTGCCTATGAGTTTCATTTGTTGTCCTTCCATGCCCCTGCATTTTTTTTTTATTTTTTTTTGACTTTTGGTCTGCCTCTTGTTATATACCAAAAATTTATAAACATTCACGAGAGTAACATTTGAAGTAGAGTTGAAACATTGTAATTGTCATACATTTCGCTTAAATCAATTTCTTCATGTTGGCAAAAAGAAAGCTAGTTGTTCACACAGGTTGCATAAACTGGCAACAAATGCCTCTCCACATGATACATTTCCCTCTTCAAAGCATTTGTCCTATCTATAGATATGGTCGCTTCCCCATAACCTAGAATTTGGTATTGATATTAGAAATTAACTTTGTGGTTCAGTTGTCTAGTGACAACACACCTTTTTCTTCCATCACAGGCTATTGAGAAAGATGGGAAAGTGATCTAATGTTTGGTATCTCTAAACCCTGAACCCCTAGACAAACTAATTTTGGTATATCTGAACTTTATACTTGATCTCTTACTGACAAAAATGGGCAAGTGATCTTTACTAAATCTGAAATAATTGTGTTCTATGGTGCTCTTTTCATTCTGTAAACTTGCTACTAAAACTAGTAAATGTAGGAAATGGCTAATACCGAGATTCAGTTTGAAAATTGCAATGAAGGAAAGTCAGTTACAATGGACGGGAATGCACACAAACCTCTGAAACTTGATCATGGCTTTCGAACTTGATGGAGAAGCAGATCTTGGAGCTCACTACCAAGCAAGGGACAACAACAGAAGACTGGACCATGGGCACCCATTTCAAGAGGTGATTACTAAATATGGGTTGTGGAAGATTTACATTATGAAATTATCCTTGCATTGAGCTATCCTTTGGTAGATCATCTTCCATCTTCTAACAAAATCAAGAATTTGGGTTCTAGATCATTTTCCAAGGGACACTGAGAAGTAGAGGAATGTAGTGATATTGTTTGTGTTTGATAGCTTGATATATATATATATATATTGTTAGGCCAATTTCCTACTAGTTAATTTTTTGGGTCAATTGATGACTTAATATGATATCAGAGGGAGGTTTTAGATACAAGTCTCACCAGTTGCATTGGTTGCTGCATACATTATTTCTTCTCTCTATGTATGAATGCTGGATAGCTTGATATACATTGCTCCATCAATTTCCTAGCAGTTTAAGATACGTTTTTTGTGTAGCTTCTTCATTTTTGGTCGTTGGTTTACAAACTTCGTTTGGAAATTCAATACCGAACAATTTACATTTATTTTTCTAAACAAATTTCACTCATTTGGCATTGTGTTTCCAATTATTCAATGTTGTTATGTATTCCATATCCGAATAAAATGTACGTGTTCAACTTTATGCTTCTGTACATTTAATTTTCTAACTTCTTCATATTCTAGTTTTGAACAAAAACAGCTCTCCGGTATTATACATCCGAAAAAATTACATATGTTCGTAAACTTGTTTCCAAATAAAATCACTCTTATTCTGTATATCATATCTGAACAAAATAAAAATATTTAGCTCTATGTTTCCATATTATGTAGAGGTTGGGTTGTAGGGGACGGTGGTGCACGCGATGGTGGGCCACAATGGGGGTGGGCAGTGGTGGGCGACGATGGGGGTGGGGGCAACAATGGTTTGTTGTGCTGTTCTGCCGTGAAAGGTTGGATTTGGGTAGATTGGAACCTATTTGATGTGTGGGGTGTTTGGAGTATGTATTTAGGATTTATAATGGTAGAATGGGTATTATTTGAGATGTTCAAAATAATATTTTAAATTTAAATTTTAAAATGGAGTGCTGAAAGTATTGAGATGTCTAAGCAATTTTTTAGAATGCAAATAGAAACTCCCAAAAAGTTGAGTCCAACAAAAAAAAGAGAGTAGAGCATTTAGCAACACTCATGCAAAATACAAAGACATAAGAAAACATAACTTTTACTAATTTTTCCTCCACTCTCTCCCTTTATTTTCAGATATGAGATACACAAACCTCGGGAGCGTTAGAGCACGCATATATGTAAATGTATACTATAGCCATCTTCTATCTATTTATATTATTATATATGTGAATATTTATACTATTGATACAAATATATCTCATATTTTAAATTTTTCTAAAATATTCTTATAGTTGATGTTTATGTAAAAAAAAAAATTTAAGAGACAGATAAGACTCGAAATTGGAATAATAAGTTTGATAAAGAATGTCCCTACTACTTTAGCAAGACATATTAGACCATCTCAAATGGTTCACCAAATCTGGCATCAAATTTGAAATTTGGTGAAAAAGACACTTTTTGAAACTCCAACGGTTTCACCAAACTGGTATCAAGTTGAAAATTGAACAAAAAAATCATCAAACTGAAAACAGGATACAGATTTCAGCAAATTACTATTTGTGACCGTTGGAGGAGAGGAACCGGTCAACCAGCCGGTTGCCCGACCGGTTGATCAACCAGTTGACCACTAAAATGCTCAAACAATTCAAATGGGTAGGTTCAAACAATTCAAAATATATATATATATATATTTTTTTTTTTTTATTTAGTTCATTCTCACAGAGCAATCAATCTCAGCAAACTAATTTAAGAATTAATGATTAAAATAGCTAGAATTACACAATTGTTCCTGTGGATACGATACCCTCACTCTATCACTTTACATGTTTGAAAACCTTTATTGAAAGATTGATTTGCAACAATCACATAACTTCATCTTTTATATAAGGTCTTTGTCTTGACCGATTAGTTGTTGTAGGCTTTAATCTCCCTGAACCGTAAACCCTATAGATTGATTTATCAAACTCAAACCTTAACTAATTGTGCATTTATCAATTACTTGTTGGAAAAATTTAGAAGTGAATGAGAATTGACTCAATTTGAATGAAATTGTGCAATGCTTCATGGTATCTCTTCATATGAAAATGTGTGACCCAAGAGTCATGACTCATTTGAATGGTCATGAATACTTCTATAAATAGCCTTATCATTTCCAGCAATTTCAAAAAAAAAATTGTTTTCCTTCTCATTTTCATTTCTTCATTCTCCTGTCTTTATCCTCCATTAGTTCTGCATGTTTCTGCAAATTAGAATTAGGAAGAGTCTGTGAGAAAGAGAGAGTCACAACACTGGTTTGGTTTGCTAGGCTTGAAATTATAGTGTTGCATTTTCAAGACGTAAGCGTTGCATCCTAAAAAGTAGACGTTGGTAAATCTCGAAGTACTGGAGCGATGATGAAATCTACTCTATGCATATAGCTAATGATTTTCATTAGCGTTTCGTTCACGCAATTATGTTAATGTTTCAAGTATGCCACTATGTTATAATTCAAGTGTGTATACTAATGTTCAAGTATATATGAATATATGCTAATGTCCAAGCATGTTTTAAGTATGTAAGGAAAGGAATGGGAAAGATAAAAGACCTTTATTCTATAAGACTCTGGGCCTACGGCCACTCAATATAAGATATTATGATATGAAACAAAGTGCTACACGGAACTAAGTGCTACGGTGTGAGCCACCTCTAGAATCCGTGTGAGACACCTCTTGAGTTCGTATAAGAATTTACAA